CGCAGCTCCTTGCACATTTTTCTTTTTATTTATTTATAATTATATTTTTAATAATGAATTAAAGGTGTCGCTTTTTTTTTGATTTATTACAAACATATTTTTTGCAAAAGCTCGTGTATAAAATGCAAATTAATTTGTTGAACATATTTTTGGCTGTGTTGCCTTTTTCAGAAAAAGAATGTAAATAAAATAATGTAAAGAAAAATAATGTATTTTTATTAAATATTTGTAATCTAGGAATTAAGTACTATTATAAAATATTTTGCACAGAAAATTATTTGTTTAAAATTATTGAACACTTAAGCTTGTCTCTCCAAAGGTTTTTTTTGCGGCTAATGGATCCCAAGAATAAAAATATTAGTACGGAATATCAAATAGTTTTATTGATAAGAATTAATGTAGATAATTGTTGATCCTAAGATTTGACTCATTGTTAAGATAATTGTGGATCCCAATAATTGAAATTGTATAACGGAATACAACATAAATTGTATAAACAAGGGATATGCTTAGTTAATAAATGATTTATTCATTTAATAGCTTAAGCATGAATATATTTCAGACATTTTTAACACTCTTAAATTTTTATTAAATCCTCCCTAGCTTTAAATTATATTATATCATTCTCAAAAAGAGCTCTACCTCTGGATCTTGACTTTCATAGAGCATAACCCAGCCGTCTTGAGTTCTTTCTTTTTTTTTCTATGTACTTAGATTAATTCAACCTTCAATTGAACAAATAAATATTATTTCAATAAAATCATTTCCGTTTTAATTCTTGGGTTTGCATAGTTTTGCTGTTCAGCTCGAATGTTGCTTATTAGTATTAATGTTATTATTGTTTTTTTTTTTTTATACGCCAGCATAATTATAGTTATGTGTGTGTATGGGAGTTATAATGAGTTAACAGCAAAAACTGTTTAATTAAATGTGCATTAAATTTAAGTGCTAGGAAGTGAAGTGCATCTGAATGTGCGAATGTTCATAATAAATATCATATTGTCTCTATAGTTAGCTGCACTGCTAATTAATAGAATATTTATTTCAAATTTATAAAAAACAAAACTACAATAATAATCTTTGGAGATATGCTAAGCATATTAATTATTAACAATTTAATTTAATTTAATTTAATTTTCAAGTCTTGCTCTTACGTTCGATTGTGAAATATTCAATCACTTAGCACTTTGAAACGTTTTAAAAAAGTTCAAACATGTCGTCAAACGAATTAGAACATTTTGATAACCAATATTTAATTGTTCGAGTTATTTAACCTGGGTAAAAACCATTAAGCCATATCGCTGATCATTTGTTCTTGACCCAAACAAAATGATAAGCTGACGAAAAGACCCTAAAACGGTTCAGATTAAAGTTGCTCCCAAGGAAAATCCCAGGCGTATAGACGTGGCTGATTAGATTGTCCAAGATGTAAGGTAACCTCGTCTAGCGATAAAAGAGTTAAGCCTTGGCCAAGAAGCTTCAGTTGAAATCGCCATGAAGTTCATTTGCGCATCAGTACTACTTCTCTCCGCCGTACTCGGCATCAATGCCGTGCACTGGGATTCCTTGAAATTGCTGGACATTGACCCCAAAGCCCGTCGTCATAATGCGCCCACTGGACGTATTACGTAGGGCGAAACCGCTGCACGCAATCAGTTCCCCTACCAGGCGGGTCTCATGCTCTACACTCCCGATGGTGCTGCCTGGTGCGGAGGTACCCTGATCGGCACACGCCATGTGGTTACCGCCGCTCACTGCACGGACAATCTGAACACCGGAGTGGATGTCTATCTGGGCGCCTAGGATCGCACCAACGCGAAGGAGGAGGGTCAACCGATCATCTTTGAGGAGAAGAAGTACGTGACTGTTCATGAGGCGTGGGACAACAAAACCCTCAAGAACGACATTTCCATCATTAGGCTGCCCGAGCCCATTGAATTCAACCAGTTCATCCAACCCGCCAAGCTGCCAGTCAAGTCCGACAGCTACGAAAACTACGCTGGGGAACAGGCTGTTGCCTCCGGCTGGGGCAAGGTCTCCGATTGTAAATTCTGCGTGAAACCCTTTTGGGGAACCTCAACTAATTACGGATTCCTTTTGCAGCTGAGACAGGAGCTACCAACATTTTGCAATACATTTATGTTCGTTGTCCTCTCATTTATTTTATTGAAGGTAACCCAAAAACCCTTTGTGAGCGTGTCACAGATACTGGACAGTACATGTTGCTCTAATCGTTAACCCCACATGATTTGATCTAGTCCTTCCATCCCAACATGGGCTACATTAGTTTGTCTTCAGCTTCATAGGTATCCGGACGCTATCCTCTCCAACAAAGGATTTCATCTGTCTCGCATCCCCTACGGATCTTCGCAGATGTCTTAAAGATAGGCAATCGAGTGGAAGATGGGGTCATCGGCGTAAAACCTAGTCACAGAAAGTCGTTTAGACTTTCTGATCAATGCAATGCCAAGTGAAGGTTAGTGCAATCCATCTGATAATGGGCTCAAGAAGCATAGGTGTTAACAGCTGCCGCAAATCTCTTCAGGAGATTGGAATTCGCAGTCTAGTTATTTACTTATTACCTATTATTTGCTTATTACCTTAATTGAGTTTCTCTGCTCTTGACCCAAACCAACTGATAACTTATCAAAAAACCTTTAAATTCAAGATTAAAGTTACTCATAGAATAAATCACAGACAAAGACGTGACACCATCCGCAGGGCAGCACGCGCCCTGCTATTTTTATCGCCGACAGGAATAATCAATGGATTAGCTCTAGAAATAACAGCAATCAGTTTTTAATCGTAAATCAAATGTATTTACGAGCCCGATTTGAGATAAGCGATTGCCCAAGATATATGGTAGCCCCGTTTGACTCTCCGGCTATAAAAGCGTGTCCACTAGGCCAATTGGTTTCAGTTCTAATCAAAATGAAATTCGTTTGCGCATCGGTGCTGCTCCTAGCCGCCATTCTCGGCGCCAATGCCGTGGATTGGCAATCCCTGAAATCGCTGGACATTGAGCCCAAGCTGCCCATGATTCGTCGCCACAATGCGCCTGCAGGACGTATCACGAGCGGCCAAGATGCTGCTCGCAACCAGTTTCCCTACCAGGCGGGTCTCTTGCTGTACGTTGCCGGAGGCGCTGCCTGGTGCGGTGGCACCTTGATCAGCGACCGCTATGTGGTTACCGCGGCTCACTGCACGGACAGCCTGACCACCGGTGTGGATGTCTATCTGGGCGCCTGGGATCGCACCAACGCCAAGGAGGAGGGCCAGCAGATCATCTTTGTGGAGACCAAGTACGTGACTGTTCACGAGAACTGGGACGCCACCACCCTCAGCAATGACATTTCCGTCATTAAGCTGCCCGTGGCCATTGAATTCAACGAGAACATTCAGCCCGCCAAGCTGCCAGCCAAGTCCAACACCTACAACACCTACGCCGGCGAACAGGCTATTGCCTCCGGCTGGGGCAAGGTCTCCGACTGTAAGTTCTATCTGGGAACCGCAATTGACGGGTCAGTTAATAATTTTTTATTATTTTAGCCGCGACTGCCGTCCACGACATTCTGCAGTACATTACTGTGCCCATCATGAGCAACTCGGGCTGCTCTCCCTGGTACGTCGGTGCTGTGTCCAGCACCAACATCTGCATCAAGACCACGGGCGGCACTTCCACCTGCAACGGCGACTCTGGTGGTCCTTTGGTGCTTGCCGATGGCAGCAACACCTTGATTGGCGCTACTTCCTTCGGTATTGCCCTTGGCTGCGAGGTTGGCTGGCCAGGTGTCTTCACCCGCATCTCCTCCTATGTGGACTGGATCGAGGAGCACACCGGTGTGGTTAACAAGGGCGTCTAAATGTTGCAAAGCATAAATTAAAATGAAATTAAATGCATAATCCTACTTGGGGACTTGAAATACGATCGTAGCAACCTCTGATACTTCCTATTATAATTTCTTAAAGCCAGGTGCTCAGATAAGGTCCATTAAAAGAATTACTAATACGGATTTATTTACGACTTATTTTTGCAACAACAACTTGGCCATGTTAGCAGCGCTTACCGCTCTGTCAAAAGAAATACTTACTTGGTTATGATAAGTATTCAGGTAACTTTAATTATTTTTAAATTTACAATGCAATATATTTTCCAATGGAATTCTCAAAGTCATGTATTAGACTTTCAGCAGTGACCCATTGTGAAGGACGCGCTTAAGGAAGTTTTTAAATGTCCAGATAGAACAATTCAATTATATATCAGTTCCTCTTGATCGAAAGCAATTGGTAAGCTTATGTGAAAACCTTCTACCACGTTATTTTTATCGGCAATGTAATTATTAATGAATCAGTAGGAATTGGTAGTAGAAGCAGAAATCAGTTAAAGTGTGTCTTCTAGTCTGATTAAATATAAGCGAAATTCCAATATATATGGGACCCAATTAGCTAGCTGTATATCTCTGAGGCTATAAAAACGTTGGCCAATTGTCCAAAAGCTTCAGTTATAAAATATGAAATTAATTTGCGCATCGGTGCTTCCTCTCCTCGCCGCTGAATATTGAGCTTAAGGTTTGTGAGACGAGGTGGTGCAAGGCGGTGTCCTCTCGCCTGGAAGGAAGCGATCGATGGAAATCTTGTCGCATTTTCCTATGAGTCAGACAGAGCTATCGCACTTGAGAAACTCCAAAAGCCTTGTATAAGATTAAAGAGATATATTATCCAATTGGACGTCATGTGTTCTTCTGGGTGTCAGCTCCTGATCCAGTCCTTCAACCCCTGACATCCCATTTGTCCATTGGTCATACTTATTTCTCATCAACCTCACGCTATCCTTTCCGTCCACTCCAACAAAGGGTTTGATCTCTCTCCCTCATTGGAATTTAATCCTCCTGGATCCACTAGACCTCATGAGGATTTTCACAGACGTCTCTAAGGTCGACAACCGAGTGACAGGCTGAGTCAAGCAGGGGATGATAAAATGGAAATAAACAAAACATATCTCAGCTTAAAGTAAAAGTTTATTTTGTTGAAGCTACAAGAAATAAAAGTCGTATTTGGATTTGGAATGTGGCCGTCGGCTGACATCCTCGGACGTGTCCTCGTCGGACAGTGGGGGATGCACGTCCAGCTCGTCGGGCACATCATCGTCGGGCTGGTGGTCGGTTCGCAGTTTGCGCTTTTGGTGCTCCTTGCCGTAGTTCTTGATATACTGATCGAAGAAAATGGCCTCCGTGGTGTCCTGGTGCGAGTGAACGCCCGTCTCATCGCTAATCCAGTCCAGGTACGAGGCAACCTTGGTGAAGGCCGCAGGATAGCCACGATCGCAGCCATAGATGCTGCCGAACGAGGTGACGCCCACCAGGACGCGTTTCTTGGAGTGGCGCCGCTGCAACACCAGCGGCCCACCAGAGTCGCCATTGCAGGTGGATCTGGCGTTCCGACCGCTCGTACAGATGTTCGTGCCTCGAAAGGACAGCGGAAAATTGCGCTTACAGGTGCGATCGTCGATGATCTGGAGCTGCACATAGCGCAGGACATTGCTAATGGCGTGGACGCCCGTGGCATAGCGGCCCCAGCCTGAGGCAATGCCCAGCTTGTTCTTGAAGCTGCGGTACTCATAGTGCCGCTTGGGCAACTGTATGGGATGGATGCGTTCTGGAAGAGACAGCGGAATGAGCTGCCCATCGACCTAGCTCGGTTCGCGACTCACCATTGAAGCTGACCGCGTGTGGCAGTCGTACAAGCGCAATGTCGTCCTTCAGACGCTTGGGATTCCATGTGGGATAGATGTGAAAATTGCTGCTGGGCACCATTAGACGCACCTGACCCGACTCCTTGGCGTTCTTGATCTCATTGGCGCCCAGAAAGACCAAGGCGCGTTTGGCCCTGTGTATAAGAATGAATGATGAATATGAATTCATTCCGGGTTTCATTTATGGTCTGCCTACATGTCCACGCAGTGGGCGGCTGTTAGCACATGCTGATCAGAGATTAGGGAACCGCCGCACCAGTATAGACCCTTGGGACGCTGCAGCAGCATGCCCACCTGATAGGGAAAACAATGGGGATTGCCCACATCGCCGCCGAAGATGCGATCCATGGCCATGGCACCCTCCGGCAACATGCTGTCCAGCAGTGGCGTCGTCTCCAGGTTCAATACCAATGGCTCGGGCTCAGCAGCGACGGCGTCGGCGGCGCTGTCGCTAATTCGACTCTCATCATTGCTGGCGCTCATTTCCGCGTCCAGTTCGGCGGACAGCGAGGTGGCGGATGGTGTCTGGGACAAGGCCATGCCGAACGGGCCCGGATACATGGACACTAAATACATTGGCTTAACCTGTTGCCAGTCCAGCGCGTCGGCGAAGCCGCCAACATGTAGCAGCGACAGCGACAGCGCAGCGACGCAGGCCAGCAGCAGCCTGCGCGCTGTCAATGTGGCAATAATTGAAAAACTTGCCGATTGTAAAAACATTTGTGTTGCTTTTTGTTGCTGCTGCTTGTTGGCACACGCATTTAATTTTTAATTTAAACTTAATTAACACACACACACATACGCACACGCACACACACACTGCTTCCTTCTTTAATTTAAACTCGTTGCAGTAGCCATCTACGTTTCCCGTTTGGTTTGAAAAGCCGTTACGACTGCCACGACGGGCGCGTAAAATTTTTTATTGTTGTTGTTGTTGTTGACTTTCGTTGGACTTGGACTCTCGGTGTGTCGGTCAGCGTCTCGCTTACAACTGTGGCGGCGCGCGCATGTTGCAAGCATTTTTATAAACTATTGTTTACTACAATTTCTTGTAAGCCCACTTTAATTATTTCGTCTATTTTGCTGCATTAATTTGACGTCGCTGTCGACAGCGACAGCGACAGCGACGTCGCCGCCAATTGCATTAATTTCGATTCGCAATTTGCCTCTTTCATATTTGCATGCGCGCTCTCTTTGCGCTCTTCAGCCACCCACTCGCTCTCACCACTCTCACTTTATCTTCCCCCTCTCTGTTACGCCTGCGCTTTTGTCGCATTTCTTTTCGACCTTTGATTCGCCCAAAATGATGCTGCCCTTTGGCGCGGCTTTTCGTTTAGTGTGTGTGCGTTATTCGCGTAGTGCGTGTGCTAGCAAAATTTTGGCTAGCGTTGTCGTCGGCTCGCGGTCCGTTGTTGTTTTTACCATTTAAATATAAAAAGCCAACATAACTGTAACTCTAGTTACTTATCCTCTACTTGCTTTGGTGCTATTACATCACGCGTGTGTATAAGTTTCTGTGTTCGTGTGTGTGTGTGTGTGTGAGTGTTTATTGTAGGCTGTGTAATGCGCAGCATGCGGCAAAATGCTTTCATTCAGAAAAAAACATATGAAGTTGTTGTTATTGTTGACGGCAATGGTAAGTGAAACAAAAAGCATTACACGATACATTTGTCTTTTGCATTGTTTGCCCCCGCCAGCCCCTGCTACTGTCCCGTTAACCAGTGCATACCGCAAGCACTGATTACATGCATATAACGAGCCAAACAGTGGGCAGTGCTCGGTTAATTTAGCTGCAATTTGAATGAACCAGCAAGCCCTACATTTTTGACGCTGTGCTGCTCCACTGTGCGGCTACATCTTCTTCTTATTATTTTTCTTTTTTTTATGCCATATGCCAAGGTTATTGCCAGGGCACCGCGCAGTCGTAGGCAAATTAACAGCATTGTTGCATTCGTTGCATGCGGCTAGCTGAAGAATTTTCCTAGCAGGAAATCAAAAAATAATACCCCCACCCCTTCTCACCACTTCTCATGCTAACTTGTTGCATGTATTTATAATTAAATTAATTCGTTGAAATAACTTTAATTTGGTGTTGAAAGTATTTCTTGGTTTGCTGTTATTGTTTTTGTCGATTTAGGAAATTGCGGGGCTCATTTTGCCTGCCTAGCGAAGCAAATAAATCAAATCGTCTCGCGATCGGTGATATGTTCGAATGTAATGAGGCTACAAAAACAATAAACAATCAGCACCAACTGCATCAGCAGCAGCAACTACAATAACAACAACAACAACAGTAGCAGCGGTTGGTGGCGTCGATTATGCAAATGTTTGCACCCCTCGCTTTGGTTCGCCTTTTTGCGGCTACCGTTGTTTGTTGTGCTGCTTACTTACTTTATACTCTTACAGTGGGTAGTCATATCGTTTATGCATGGCATTTGTTACTTAATTACAAATGTGGCCTATACTATTGTATTACTATTACTATTAAGTTAAGATTCACATTTTTTTTGCATCTATTGGGATATTTTCTTTAATATAATACAAAAAATATTTGAGAAAATATCCAAAAACTAAAAATTCTTTAAGACAATATTTTTTATAAAGTTTTATATCAAAGGGTCTTTTTGTATTAAACAAGTAATGAGGTTACCATTTTCATTTAACTTTTAACTGAAGTTTAAGCTGGCTGGACGCTTTTCTTTGATAAAAACCTACAAACATAAAAAGGTGAGCAGTTCGTCTAATAATAGCTGTGAAAGTTATTTAAAAAAAAACTATTGACTGCTATTGCTGAGAGGTTTTCTATTAACCAAACGCCTTGAAGTATTTCGCAGCATAAGCTTGTTGGGAATAACAACGAGTCAAGCGAAACGAAAAACTGATAAAAGCTGGCAACTTTTGAGTACATTTTATGTGTGCTAACAACTTTTGATAATTTAAAATACAAACACAAAACCTTATTTATTGGATTAATTTTGCATAATGTATAATTTATGAAATTAAATTTTACATAATGTTCAATAAGAATCTACAGCGCAAATGTGCGTCTCTCATTATAATTTTCAAATCAAAAAAGTTTCACTTAGAAGATAACATTTAATGTAAGAGCATAGAAGAGTCGGTGTGTTGTATAAAACATATTTCTTTTCTTGTTTTGTTTCTCTGCTTCGTTTGAATTTCGTGCTGTGCGTCGATATTTAATGCATAATCGCGAATTATGATTATCGGCTCTTGCATGTTGTGTGGACGTACTTATGTACATATTTATTAATAATATTGTTTTATTTTATTGCACTTGCTAATGCATTTGCCGTTATTCAATTTAGCACCACGATCACATTATTTACCAACTGATTAGTATTAGTGACTGCGGCTATGTCTTTCCACTACGTTTAATATAAACTTTGCGTTTTTATTCAATGGTTTTTATTCATTTATATTTGTTTTCCTTTTGTGCTAGTGAAATACGCGAGTTATTTACGCAGTTCCTAGTTGCAAATATTGGGAATTTAAAATTGTGATACATTTACAGTTTTGGTACAATTCTAATCCATTTAAACGAGACTTTGCCAGAATCGTATTCTTGCTTAAATTAAATGAACTACATGAACATAAATTAGATTTGTGGCACTCGACGCCAAATGATTAAATTATTTTCACGCTCGACGGTTACTTCCTATAACTAGCTTAAATTTAAAATCTTATGTAAGACTTGCTAAATTGGTATCAGTGCAATTCGACAAAAATGCCAACGGGTGGGGGACATAGTGCATGTGGTCAACAGAGCCACCTCCTCCTCCTCCACTATTTGTCGAACCGTTTTTCAGTCTCGGTGGGCTACTCGAATGCCGGCGTATGCCGCGCCAGCTGCATGTCATCCATGAATGTGTTGACGGCCGGTTTGAACTCCATGCTGCCGCCGGCGGGCGGCTCCTCGTCGCCATCGAACATGGCGCTGTCGAGACTCTTGTTGAGACGATCATGGAACTCGGTCATGGAGATCTTTTTGAGTGCAAATCTCTTGCCAAATGTCTTCTTCACCTTCAAGCGGCGTTTCTTGATCAGATTCTTGTTCTTGTTGAGGCCATCGTTGAACGAGATGGCACGACGCATCTTGCGCGCACCAAACTTGACCAAACGCACCTGGCTGGTGATGGCGGCGCACTCCTCGCTGTCATCCTCAACATCTGCCGCATTCTCATCGCTGGGCTCCTCGAATATGGTCTCCAGATTGGCGGGCGTAAACTTTTTCATACGTTTGCTCGTGTAGATTTTCTCGATGCTGCGCAGCATCTGCTCGTTGGTCTGCAGCTCCTTGCGCTTTTTCTTCACCTCGGTGCGCATTATGGCGCTGCATACCCGATTGAAATTGTCCTTGGAGGCGCGGGAGGGCATGCGTCGGCGGGCGGCAACGCCGCCGCGACGACCATTGCGATAACTGCTGGTGCTGCTGTGGGCATCGCTGTCGTCGTTGTCTTCGCCGCGGCTTTGCTGGGAGTCTATCTCGTCCGATTGATCGGTGTCAGCACTTTCCGAGTCTAGCATTGCATCGGATGCATTTGTTGCCGCCGCCGCCGCCATTGGTTTCAGATTCCAGGAGAATTTGCTCGCGGCGGTGTGGAATGGGGCAGTGCTGAAAAGTATTTTTTTTCTTTTTGTAGTTTTGCGCTGGTTTTTTCGCTTTCTCTGACTTACCGATTCTCTGTTAAAACAACCTCTTTTGGCTGAAAACTTATCTTCGCGAATTTGTGCACAATATTTTCCATTATTCAATTTGTAACATACTGTTTTGTTTTAAGATTTATTCAGCTCTTTTATCGCTCTGTTTTGTTATTTACACTTTTTTTCGTTGTAAAAGAGGAAGAGAATGTAATACCAAGCGCAAATGTTATTTAACATAACAGCCGGGACGCAATACACATCTGTTAAGCTTAACTGTCATTAACAGTGCGCTGTGATTAAATTATTTAAATACTATCGATATTTTTTTTCAAATCATTTTCCGCACCTCAAATGACATATTTTATTCAAAGGAATCAATAAAAATATTATTTTTTCCATGTTGGCTCAAAAAAAAAAAATTACATAATTTGAATTTTGCAACCGGCAGCGTGCCTTGCTGTTAGCTGTTTATTCACTGCTATTAACATAGCCCGATAACTGTTTGGCTTGCATGTGTACATACGTTGTTTTCCAACAGATGGCGCTATTAAATGGCGCCTTTTAAATTTCAAACAAAATATTTTGCTGAATATTCCATTAAGTCGAAAAGATTTAACTAAAATGAATTTTAGTGCAATGTGTTTTGTAAAATGTGTTTCTTTTGTATTAATTAAGCAACTAAATGAATACTTTATACATAAAAGAAAAAAAAAAATATTGCGTATTAAAAAATTAATTAAATAAGTTGGACTTTCCTTTTTAAAATTTAACTTTTACTTGAATGTTTCTCGCGATTATTGGTGGTAAGACAATCTCTTTCTTTATAGATAGCTTATTGAGTGGGTGCTAAAATATAAGATAAGGTTAAAAATTGAAAAGAGGATTGTGCAATGACTATTGGCTTATCTGTCCATGTTTATAAGTGTGCGCATATCCGCATACGTTTACGGTATAAGTGCGTTTCCTATAAAAGACCTTACTTTAATTGAATCCGTATGAGTTCATCGTGAAACGTGAAAGTAATCATTCTATTGGCTTTGGCGCTATCCGCCGTCTCTGCGGAGTTCTTGAAACAAGAACATCCCAAAGACTTCCCCAGGTCGACCAAGATAGAGGGACGTATTACCAATGGCTATCCAGCCTATGAGGGCAAGGCACCTTACGCCGTTGGCCTTGGCTTCAATGGCTGGTGGTGCGGTGGTTCCATCATTGCTCACGATTGGGTGCTGACTGCTGCTCACTGCACCAACGGTGCAAGCTCTGTGACCATCTACTACGGTGCCACCTGGCGCACCAACGCCCAGTTCACCCACACTGTTGGCAGCGGCGAGTTCAGACAGAATAACAAATGGCCCAACGAGAACGGCAATGACATCGCTCTGATCCGCACTCCCAATGTCGATTTCTGGAGCATGGTCAACAAGGTTGAGCTGCCCAGCTTCAACGACCGCTACAACATGTACGATGGCTCCTGGGCTGTTGCCTGCGGCTGGGGCATTACCTCCGATGGTGGCTCTCAACCCGATTGGCTGCAGTGCGTCGACCTGCAGATCATCAGCAATGGCCAGTGCTCCCAAAGCTATGGAAGTCTCCCTGATGGGATCCTCTGTGTTTCCACACCCGACGGCAAGTCCACCTGCAGTGGTGATTCCGGTGGCCCCTTGGTTCTCCATGACGGTGGCAGACTGGTTGGTGTTACCTCTTTCGGTAGCAGTGCTGGTTGCACATCTGGCGCCCCAGCTGGATTCACTCGAGTCACCAATCAGCTGGATTGGATTCGCGACAACTCTGGCGTTGCTTACTACTAAACTTTCTAATAAATGACTTACGATGAGCAAGAGACTGTATTTTGATAGGCAAGGAAAAGTGGAAGTGTACTGATCAATGTACTGATCACTTCTTCTAAAGTTCGGACAACACTGTTTTCGTCTCGCTGGCCCCTTTCTTAGCGAAATCGTATATCTTCCATAGTTTTAGAGCTACGGTAGATACATTTTTATGCAGATGGTGTTGTCGGTCACATAGATATTGTAGCGGTCGTTGTAGTTGGGCAGCACCACCTTGTTGACCAAACTCCAGAAGTCCACAAGGGGTGTGCGGATCAGGGCAATATCATTGTTTGTTTAGCTGATCATTATAGTTCTGATAACGGATCTGGTCATTGCCGCTGACTCAGTGCATGTACTGAGCCTCAAGGCAGATGTCAGTCAAGAAAGGATCAGTGGTTCGGATCATATTTGGTACAAATACATAATCTTGATTCTGTTACTGTTTCAGTTTGAAGGGGCAACTAATACTTAAAAAGTAATTGGATTAATTAGATTTGAACCGATTCGTTTTCAAACGTTGCAAAGGATATATAATGGATACCTTCATTGCCTTCTTTCTGCAGATGGAATAATATTTTTCTACCTATTTCAAGATACTCTCGATATTATGATTTTTCAAATCATGTTCATGAATCAATAACAAATTGTTTTCTATTTTGCCTCAAAAAAAAAATAAAAAATTCGGAATTTGGATTTTGTAACAGTTAACTTTACATGGGCCGGCAGCGTGCCTTGCTATCAGCTGTTTATTCGCTTCTATTAACATAGCCCGAGAACTGTTGGGCGTGTGAAGATAAATTACTTTCCAACAGATGGCGCTATCAAGTGGCGCCCTATGAATTTCAAGAAAAATGTGTTTCTGATATTTCCCTTAAATAGGAATGATTTAACAAAAATGTATTTTAGTGCACTGTGCTTTTAAAAATATAATTCTGTTGTATTTATAGTACAACTAAATTATTAGTTTTTGCTAATAATTATTTAGTTGTTTGCCTCTGCGAAAATAACTTTGCATATGAATATTCCATACATAATAGTTGAAAATATGCATATTGCGTATTAAAAAATAAGTTAAACATGTTGGACTTACATTTTTAAAATTTAACTTTTACTTGATTGGTTCTCGCGATTTTTGGTGGTCAGACAATCTTTTTCTTTATAGATAGCTTATTGAATGGGTGCCAAAATATAAGATAAGTTGAAGAATGGAAATAGGGATTGTGCGAAGGCCATTTGCTTATCTATCCATGATTTTAAGTGTGTTTGCATATTCACATACGTAAGTGGTACAATTGGGTTTCTTATAAAAGCCCTTACTTCAATTGAATCCGTATGAGTTCATCGTAAAACATGAAAGTATTCATTCTATTGGCTTTGGCGCTATCCGCCGTCTCTGCGGAGTTCTTGAAACAAGTACATCCCAAGGACTTACCCAAGTTGACCAAAATCGAGGGACGTATCACCAATGGCTATCCAGCCTACGAGGGCAAGGCTCCCTACACCGTTGGTCTGAGCTTCGATGGCTGGTGGTGCGGTGGTTCCATCATTGCTCACGACTGGGTGCTTACTGCTGCTCACTGCACCCACCAGGCCAACTCTGTGACGATCTACTACGGTGCCACCTGGCGCACTAACGCCCAGTTCACCCACCATGTTGGCAGCCACGAGTTCAGACAGAACCATAACTGGCCCCATGAGAACGGCAATGACATCGCTCTGATCCACACTCCCCATGTCGATTTCTGGCACATGGTCAACAAGGTCGAGTTGCCCAGCTTCAACGACCGCTACGAGATGTACGATAATTGGTGGGCTGTTACCTGCGGTTGGGGTCGTACCTATGCTGGTAGCCCACTGCCCGACTGGCTGGAGTGCGTCGATCTGCAGATCATCAGCAATGGCAAGTGCGCTGAGACCTATGGACACCTCCCTGATGGAATCCTCTGTGTTGCCACACCCGACGGCAAGTCCACCTGCAGTGGTGATTCCGGTGGCCCACTGGTGCTCCATGATAACCCCAAATTGGTTGGTGTTACCTCTTTCGTTGGCAGTGAGGGTTGTACATCTGGCGAGCCAGCTGGATTCACTCGTGTCAGCCATCAGTTGGAGTGGATTCGCGAACACTCTGGTGTTGCTTACTACTAAACTTTCTAATAAATGATATTACGATGAGCAAGAGACTGTATTTTGATAGCCATAGAAAAGTGGAAGTGTACTGATCTATGCACTGATCACTTCTTCTAAAGTTCGAACAACAATGTTTTCGCCTCGCTGACCCTCGCCCCTTTAAAAACGAAACCATATATCTTCCATAGTTTTAGAGCTACAGTAGATAAATTTGGTGTGACCCCCGATGACGACCCCTGGTCAGCTTTTCTTCATCCAGATGGTGTTGTCAATCACATATCTATTGTTGAAAACGCCGCGACACTCGTCATTGCTGATGATCTGGATATCCACGCAGTTCAGATAGGCCTGCATGCCACTGTCGTTCGAGTTATATCCCCAGCAGGAGGCAACAGCCCACCAGCCGTTGTAGTTGTTGTAGCAGTCGTTGTAGCTGGGCAGCTCCACCTTGTTGACCAACCTCCAGAAGTCCACATGGGGTGTGCGGATCAGGGCAATATCATTGTTTAGCTGATCATTATAGTTCTGTTGCTGGCTAGCAACACCAACCCAAACCCGGTGTTGAACCGCTTTCCTGACGTTGAGACTGCCATTGACACGTAAACTAAAAATACTCACAACAAAAAATAACAGACAGAGGAATCCATCTTTGGAGCCCCAGATTGCTGAGCTTCTCCACGAAAAACGGAGACTCAGGCGTGTCTGGTTTTCTTCAAGGAACCCCAGGGACAAGGCAGCGCTGAATAGAGCCACCAAGGCTTTAAAGCAGAAGCTCTAAATTCTAAGGAGGAGAGCTTTTGACTCTTTCTTTGAGGAACTGGAACCCGGTGACCCCCACCACAACCTATGGCAAGTTACTAAAAAGATTAAGAGGCCAATAAGGAGAGCAGTCCCAGTTAAAAACACAGGTGGCAGCTAGTGCAGATCCGAGGCGGACAGGGCCAATGCGTTCGCAAATCATCTGAAAGGCGTTTTCGCACCTTTGTCCAGATGCACTCCTGAGGAAACGGCCGAAGTAGAGCAGCTACTGTCTCGAGAGCATCAAGGCAGCAGCCAAATACCCCCGGTCCTTGTGGAGGAAGCGTTTGAATGCATTGAGGCGCTGAGAAATGGCAAAGCCTCAGGCGATGATGCTATCAACGCAATTGCGTTAAAACTACTCTCTCCAGTTTGCATCGAACTTATTACTAAGCTCTTCAACAGACGCCTCGATCTCGGGCACTAGTAATAATACTTAAACCTGGCAAACCCGAAGCTAATCTCGCCTCATACCGTCCGATCAGCTTGCTAACAATACTCTCCAAAATTCTGGAAAGCGTGTGAAAGAAAATACTGCTGCGCCGTAATGCTTGATGTTAAGCAGGCATTTGATAGAGTGTGGCATCCTGGGTTTCTACTCAAAATCAAGAGCAACCGCAGGCACACTATGCATTCCTCGCCTCATATTTAAAAGACAAGCAGTTCCATGTTAAATGTGGAGAAGCTATCTCTGCAATTAAGGTCATAAGAGCGGGCGTTCCTCAGGTAATGCAAGGCCAATTGGACACACTTAATGAATGGCAGAGGATATGGAACATGATAGTGAATAATGAAAAGTCCACACTTTCTCTCGCAGGCCTGGTAACTGCCCTCCTGTCTACCTAGGCGGAGCTGTAATACCAGTAGAGACGACATCAAAATACCTTGGCATGACTCTCGACAGGAGGTTAACATGGAGAACTCACCTTTTAAAGAAAAGGAAACAAGCGGAGGACAAGTTGAAGTCCTATTACTGGCTTATTGGCCGCAAATCTAAGTTAACTACTCGGTCAAAGCTCCTTGTCTACAAGGCAATTATTAAACCGATGTGGACTTACGGCATTCAGCTATGGGCTACTGCCATTCGAAGCAACCTAAAATTAATTCTAATATTTCAAAACAAGGCAATCCGCATCGTTTCCAATGCACATATTTTCCAGCAACACCACCAGAAGACTCAAGAGAGCGCAACCGCTGGATCTTCCAATGTACCAGATCACTTAATCTAATTATACCCGCACCCGCCACATTGTTTACAATGAGAAATTACTACAAATGAAACACACCCTGCTGAGTATCCACGAACAAATTTAATAATTGTCAAAGCAAGACAGATTTTAAATAAAATGGTTTTTCTCATGCCATTAAAAAAAAATAATAATAAAAAAATTATAGTTCTGATAATGGATCTGGTCATTGCCGCTGACCCAGTGCGTGTACTCAGCCTCATGACAGAAACTGGCGCCGTAGTAGATAAATGTCAGACAAGAAAGAATCAGTGGTTCGGTTCATATTTGGAACCAAAACATTATTGTAACTGTTTCAGTTCAAAGGGGCAACTAATCCTTAAAAAGTAATTGGATTAATTAGATTTGAACCGATTCGTTTTCAAACGTTGCAAAGGATATATAATGGATACCTTCCTTGCCTTCTTTCTGCAGATTTAATAATATTTTTCTACCTATTTCCAGATACTCTGGATATTAGATTTTTCAAATCATATTCAGCAGATCAAATGATATATTTATTTAATAAGGAATCAATAACAAATTGTTTTCTATTTTGCCTCAAAAAAAAATAAAAAATTCGGAATTTGGATTTTGTAACAGTTAACTTTACATGGGCCGGCAGCGTGCCTTGCTATCAGCTGTTTATTCGCTTCTATTAACATAGCCCGAGAACTGTTGGGCGTGTGAAGATAAATTACTTTCCAACAGATGGCGCTATCAAGTGGCGCCCTATGAATTTCAAGAAAAATGTGTTTCTGATATTTCCCTTAAATAGGAATGATTTAACAAAAATGTATTTTAGTGCACTGTGCTTTTAAAAATATAATTCTGTTGTATTTATAGTACAACTAAATTATTAGTTTTTGCTAATAATTATTTAGTTGTTTGCCTCTGCGAAAATAACTTTGCATATGAATATTCCATACATAATAGTTGAAAATATGCATATTGCGTATTAAAAAATAAGTTAAACATGTTGGACTTACATTTTTAAAATTTAACTTTTACTTGATTGGTTCTCGCGATTATTGGTGGTCAGACAATCTTTTTCTTTATAGATAGCTTATTGAGTGGGTGCCAAAATATAAGATAAGTTGAAGAATGGAAATGGGGATTGTGCGACAGCCATTGGCTTATCTGTCCATGATTTTAAGTGTGTTTGCATATTCACATACGTATGTGGAACAATTGGGTTTCCTATAAAAGCCCTTACTTCAATTGAATCCGTATGAGTTCATCGTAAAACATGAAAGTATTCATTCTATTGGCTTTGGCGCTATCCGCCGTCTCTGCGGAGTTCTTGAAACAAGTACATCCCAAGGACTTACCCAAGTCGACCAAAATCGAGGGACGTATCGTCAATGGCTATCCAGCCACCGAGGGCAAGGCTCCCTACGCCGTTGGCCTGAGCTTCAATGGTGAATGGTGGTGCAGTGGTTCCATCATTGCTCACGACTGGGTGCTGACTGCTGCTCACTGCACGCACGATGCCAGCTCAGTGACCATCTACTACGGTGCCACCTGGCGCACTAAAGCCCAGTTTACCCACCATGTTGGCAGCAGCGAGTTCAGACAGAACCACAACTGGCCCCATGAGAACGGCAATGACATCGCTCTGATCCGCACTCCCCATGTCGATTTCGGGCACACGGTCAACAAGGTGGAGCTGCCCAGCTTCAACGACCGCTACGACATGTACGATAACTCCTGGGCTGTTACCTGCGGCTGGGGTGGTACCTATACTGGTAGCCCACTGCCCGACTGGCTGCGGTGCGTCGATCAGCAGATCATCAGCAATAGCAAGTGCTCCCAAAGCTATGGAGGCCTCAATGATGGCATCCTCTGTGTTTCCACAACCGACGGAAAGTCCACCTGCAGCGGTGACTCTGGTAGTGCATTGGTCCTCCATAACGGCCACAAATTGGTTGGTGTTGCCTCTTTCGTTACCAGTGGAGATTGCTCATCTGGCGCCCCAGATGGATTCACTCGTGTCACCCATCAGTTGGAGTGGATTCGCGACAACTCTGGTGTTGCTTACTACTAAACTTTCTAATAAATGATATTACAATGAGCAAGAATTGGTATTTTGATAAGCATGGAAAAGTCGAAGTTTCAATTTACTGATCACTTCTTCTAAAGTTCGAACAACAATGTTTTCGCCTCGCTGACCCTCGCCCCTTTAAAAACGAAACCATATATCTTCCATAGTTTTAGAGCTACAGTAGATAAATTTGGTGTGACCCCCGATGACGACCCCTGGTCAGCTTTTCTTCATCCAGATGGTGTTGTCAATCACATATCTATTGTTGAAAACGCCGCGACACTCGTCATTGCTGATGATCTGGATATCCACGCAGTTCAGATAGGCCTGCATGCCACTGTCGTTCGAGTTATATCCCCAGCAGGAGGCAACAGCCCACCAGCCGTTGTAGTTGTTGTAGCAGTCGTTGTAGCTGGGCAGCTCCACCTTGTTGACCAAACTCCAGAAGTCCACATGGGGTGTGCGGATCAGGGCAATATCATTGTTTAGCTGATCATTATAGTTCTGTTGCTGGCTAGCAACACCAACCCAAACCCGGTGTTGAACCGCTTTCCTGACGTTGAGACTGCCATTGACACGTAAACTAAAAATACTCACAACAAAAAATAACAGACAGAGGAATCCATCTTTGGAGCCCCAGATTGCTGAGCTTCTCCACGAAAAACGGAGACTCAGGCGTGTCTGGTTTTCTTCAAGGAACCCCAGGGACAAGGCAGCGCTGAATAGAGCCACCAAGGCTTTAAAGCAGACGCTCTAAATTCTAAGGAAGAGAGCTTTTGACTCTTTCTTTGAGGAACTGGAACCCGGTGACCCCCACCACAACCTATGGCAAGTTACTAAAAAGATTAAGAGGCCAATAAGGAGAGCAGTCCCAGTTAAAAACACAGGTGGCAGCTAGTGCAGATCCGAGGCGGACAGGGCCAATGCGTTCGCAAATCATCTGAAAGGCGTTTTCGCACCTTTGTCCAGATGCACTCCTGAGGAAACGGCCGAAGTAGAGCAGCTACTCTCTCGAGAGCATCAAGGCGGCAGCCAAATACCCCCGGTCCTTGTGGAGGAAGCGTTTGAATGCATTGAGGCGCTGAGAAATGGCAAAGCCTCAGGCGATGATGGTATCAACGCAATTGCGTTAAAACTACTCCCTCCAGTTTGCATCGAACTTATTACTAAGTTCTTAAACAGACGCCTCAAGCTCGGGCACTTTCCAGCGCAATGGAAAAGGGCTCAATTAGTTATGATACCTAAACCTGGCAAACCCGAAGCTAATAGTCATGGAACCCCGGAACAATGCCGGCTTTTGATAGAGTGTGGCATCCTGGGCTTCTACTCAAACTCAAGAGCAACCGCAGGCACACTATGCATTCCTCGCCTCATATTTAAAAGACAAGCAGTTCCATGTTAAATGTGGAGAAGCTATCTCTGCAATCAAAGTCATAAGAGCGGGCGTTCCTCAGGTAATGCAAGGCCAATTGGACACACTTAATGAATGGCAGAGGATATGGAACATGATGGTGAATAATGAAAAGTCCACAGCCACCACTTTCTCTCTCAGGCCTGGTAACTGCCCTCCTGTCTACCTAGGCGGAGCTGTAATACCAGTAGAGACGACATCAAAATACCTTGGCATGACTCTCGACAGGAGGTTAACATGGAGAACTCACCTTTTAAAGAAAAGGAAACAAGCGGAGGACAAGTTGAAGTCCTATTACTGGCTTATTGGCCGCAAATCTAAGTTAACTACTCGGTCAAAGCTCCTTGTCTACAAGGCAATTATTAAACCGATGTGGACTTACGGCATTCAGCTATGGGGTACTGCCTGTCGAAGCAACCTAAAATTAATTCAAATATTTCAAAACAAGGCAATCCGCATCGTTTCTAATGCACATATTTTCCACGACAACGCTTCCATCCACAATGTTCTAAAGATCCCATGGGTTAGTGAGGAGATCTTCAAAAGCAGTAGCAGATACCTGCATAGGCTACGCCTTCACAACAACAACCTAGCAGTAGGCCTGCTGGACAACAGCAACACCACCAGAAGACTCAAGAGAGTGCACCCGCTAGATCTTCCAATGGACCAGATCACTAAATATAATTATACCCGCACCCAACGTACATAAAAAAAATTTAATTATTGCCCAATAGCGGGCAGATCTTAAATTAAAATAATAATTATGTTATCTTCAAAAAAAAATAATATGTTTCTGATATTTTCCTTGAGTAGGAATGATTTATCAAAAATGTATGTATATGCACTGTGCTTTGTAAAATGTAATTCTGTTGTATTTATTGTACAACTTGAATTATTTAGTTTGTTTGGCTCTGTTTGGCGAAAATAACATTGCATATGAATATTCCGTAAATAATAGTTGAAAATATGCATATTGCGTAATAAAAAAATTAATTAAACAAGTTGGACTTTCATTTTTAAAATTTAACTTTAACTTGATTGGTTCACGCGATTTTTGGTGGTCAGACAATCTCTTTCTTTATAGATAGCTTATTGAGTGGGTGCCAAATTATAAGATAAGTTGAAGAATGGAAATGGGGATTGTGCGATTGCCATTTGCTTATCTATCCATGATTTTAAGTGTGTTTGCCTATTCACATACGTATGGGGTACAATTGGGTTTCCTATAAAAGCCCTTACTTCAATTGAATCCGTATGAGTTCATCGTAAAACATGAAAGTATTCATTCTATTGGCTTTGGCGCTATCCGCCGTCTCTGCGGAGTTCTTGAAACAAGAACATCCCAAGGACTTTCCCAGGTCGACCAAGATCGAGGGACGCATCACTAACGGCTATCCCGCGTACGAGGGTAAGGCTCCCTACACGGTTGGCCTGGGCTTCAGTAGCGACGCCGGTGGCTGGTGGTGCGGTGGTTCCATTATTGCTCACGACTGGGTGCTGACTGCTGCTCACTGCACGCACGATGCCAGCTCAGTGACCGTCTACTACGGTGCCACCTGGCGCACCAACGCCCAGTTTACCCACCATGTTGGCAGCCACGAGTTCAGACAGAACCACAACTGGCCCCATGAGAACGGCAATGACATCGCTCTGATCCGCACTCCTCATGTCGATTTCTGGCACATGGTCAACAAGGTCGAGCTGCCCAGCTTCAACGACCGCTACAACATGTACGATAACTCCTGGGCTGTTGCCTGCGGCTGGGGTGGTACCTATGATGGTAGCCCACTGCCCGACTGGCTGCAGTGCGTCGATCTGCAGATCATCAGCAATAGCAAGTGCTCTGAGTCCTATGGACACCTCCCTGATGGAATCCTCTGTGTTGCCACACCCGACGGCAAGTCCACCTGCAGCGGTGACTCTGGTGGTCCATTGGTCCTCCATAACGGCGACAGATTGGTTGGTGTTACCTCTTTCGGTAGCAGTGCTGGTTGCACATCTGGCGCCCCAGCTGGATTCACTCGTGTCACCCATCAGTTGGAGTGGATTCGCGACAACTCTGGTGTTGCTTACTACTAAACTTTCTAATAAATGATATTACGATGAGCAAGAGACTGTATTTTCATAAGCATGGAAAAGTCAAAGTTTCAATTTACTGATCACTTCTTCATGTGTTCTTCTTAAGTTCGAGCAACATTTGTGTTGCCTCGCTGACCCTCGCCCCTTTAATATCGTAACCTTCCTCTTCCATAGTTTTAGATCTACAGTCGTTAATTTTGGGGGTGACCCCCGATGAGGACCCCTGATGAGCTTTTCAGAATCCCCCAAAAAATCTTGCGTGCCTTTAATTTATTTTATTTGCGTGATTTCCATTTAGTAGGAGATACCAGTGTTGTCACGAATCCAGTCCAAGTAGCCAGTGACACGGGTGAAGCCAGCAGGTTGGCCGGCAGTGCAGCCATCCCAATGGCCGAAGGATGTGATGCCGATAATGCGGTTACCTTCGTGTGTGACCAGAGGGCCGCCAGAATCGCCGCTGCAGGTGGACTTGCCGCCGGATGTGCTGATGCAGATGGTGTTGTCAATCACATAGCCACCGCCGTAAACGTTGCGACACTGGTCATTGCTGATGATCTGGACATCCACGCAGTTCAGATAGGCCTGCATGCCACTGTCGTTCGAGTTATATCCCCAGCCGGAGGCAACAGCCCACCAGCCGTTGTAGTTGTTGTAGCGGTCGTTGTAGCTGGGCAGCTCCACCTTGTTGACCAAACTCCAGAAGTCCACATGGGGTGTGCGGATCAGGGCAATATCATTGTTCAGCTGATCATTGTAGCCGTGATGACGGATCTGGTCGCCCCCGCTGACCCAGTGCGTGTACTGAGCCTCATGACGGAAACTGGCGCCGTAGTAGATGGTCACGCCCGAACCATCCTTGATGCAGTGGCCGGCAGTCAGGACCCAGGTGTTTCCAATGATCGAACCACCGCACCACCAACCGCCATCGAAGCTCAGGCCCACAATGTAGGGCACCTTGCCCTCGTAGGCTGGGTAGCCATTGGTTATGCGTCCTTCAATGGATTGCTTTGGCATGTCCATAACCTTCAGGGGTTTGTTCATGCCGGTTGGCACAGCGGTGGCTGCGGCAACAGCCAAGGCCAGGAATACGAATAGTTTCATTCTCGAATGTTTACTCTGGATTTTGCAAATATTTTTTCTGCTTTTATACAATTCGAATCTTATCAAAGGGGACTCCAAGTCACACTACTCTAATCGCGGCTCATAAATTTGTTTTGCGTCTAGTCCTAGTCTGGCCGATAAGTAAGGGGTCTAGATGTGGGCCTGTCCACTGAAAATATTGTTCATATCATTCGATAATGTTTTGGGTTTTTCGTAAAATTATACCAATTGAACGAATTTTATTTACACTTTCTATTAATGAAAAAATTGTTATTTGAATAAGGAAATAATATTATCGAGCCATTTTATGCATTATTTTTTATGTTGTACTTTATAGTTATGATAGTAAACAGGGTATCTGCTCTGCATTTACGAGAATTGATCTTTGCTCGGGTCAGATTTGACAAAGCTATGGAAGCCTTTAGTCTGAGAAGAGCATTTACTATTAATTTCGGAACTTAAACTTAACTGAAGAATTATTATTAAATCTTTTTAGGCACAGAATAACATAACTGCGACC